GGTGTGGCTGTGTAGATGTGGGTGTGGGGTGTGTGGATGTGGGTGAATATAAGAATAAGACCCACACCCCACCCCTCCCCCACACACCCACATGCACACCGACACTCACAGTCACACATTCCACACACCCCTCCCCACATACACCCACACCCCACACCCACCCACACCCTCACACACATCCACATCCACATCTACACCCACTCACACCCCATACCCACACTCACACCCTCAAGATTGATTTAAATCTACAAAAGCATCGAACAACAGCTGTATCGAGATTGACGGTAATATTAATACCACAGTCTATCTTCTCAGGAACCCTTAAATTATCGCTACCAAGCTTCTGCTTGTTCATTTCAAATCATTGGTTCATAGCTGAAATGATATGACTTCTATGTTGGTAGATAGCTTTTAAAATATTGGGACTGTCAATCTTGGATTGTTAAGATGCAGAGACTAAAGTCATTGAAAATGGATACAATACTATCGTAGTGTTATTGGTAATAGTTGTGCTAGTCACAAAAAAAAATAGAAGAGTCATAAATATTCTTATCTTTCCTTAAGATTCGTGCTATTTCGTTTTTCTTCTTAGTTAAAAAATAACCAAATGAGTTCTTTATATCAAGATGAATAGTATAAATATTATTATCAAGCTTAATAATTATGAAGAACCTTCTTGTAAGGAAGTAAAGCAAATGAATCTGACTTAAAACTAACAAGAACATAGTTACAAATCAAATAAATATTACTACTACTGCCTTCTTCAAATTCGAATAAATTCGCTTGTTATTTGACTTATTCGTTGACGAAATTATAAAATAGATTATTTTAATAACAGAAGAGTATCATCAGAAGTTGACTTATTTTGATAATAGATTTTTTTGATATCATAAAAGGTTTACTAAACTTTAATATTATAGAATACAAGTGGAAGGTATCAAATCAATAGAGAAAAAGATAGTGAAAATACGAAGAAAAGATATGTGCAACAATCTCACAATAATGTTTTCGGTATTTTTCGTCAGAAGAAAATTGCTAACCTTTAAAACTTGCTGATGTTACTGAACTTCTAACTTTTTTGCATCCGATTTTTATCTGAGCATCAAAGAAAGCCAATGAAAACAAATTTTAACGGCATACTGGAATTTTCACGAATGTTTCATGCATCTATAACATGACTTTTTATATTTTTAAAACAGTGCGAAGTTCTGAAAGCGGAGTACAAACTTCATACAGTTGAATACTATGATAAAATAATTGATCTTTCGAACAGCAGAGATAAAAACGCCTATGATTTTAATTGATTTCTTGATTTTAATTTATTTATAGAAACAATTGATCGATGAATAAATACTCAGGCATATTTATTTACAAAATGATCAGTTGTTTAATGATAGAAAAGAATATATTTCAAATATAAAAAAACAAACTGAAAACGATTTATTTTTATAGCTTAATTAACAACTAGATTATTTAAATGAGAAAAAAAAATGTTAATACTGAAATTTAAAAAATTTATGTGATAATATTTCAATCTGATCTAGTTGATCAGTTGATTGTTGAAATGTTTCATTGATAGTGGGTGATCCATCAAGTAACCATTGTCGGATAATTTGTTTATCTTGATTAAATACTTTTTCAAGAATTCCATGTTCACTTATTGATTTCATTAATGGACACGTATCAACATTTTCTTCAGTCAATGCTTCACCATTCTATTTAAAATATTTATTTTTTTTAAATAGAAAACAAAAGGATAGTTAAATGATTAAAACTACTAATTTAATAACTTACATCTGGAATGGTCCATTGTGTAGCACGAAAAGCCCATAATAAATCATTTGGTTTTCCTTGTAATAATTCTCGTAAAAGTCTTTCTGATTGATCAGGTAGTTTAAGTTTAATATCAGATTCTATTTGTTCAGATAATCGACGACGTTGAACAACAACTGATATCATATCATTAACAGTTGATTGTGATAATGAAAGTATCCATCGTGTTATTATCGAAAGTTCATCTGCATTGAATATCTAGACAAATTTCAAAAATTTTTGTTTTTTTATTCAAATAAACAATAAAAAATCAATTTGTTTGTCATTATCGTTCTCTGTTCATGCAAATACGATCACTAGGTTCTATAAAACAAGCTGAAAATATAGTAATAAGGATGTGCGTGTGAGTTTCATCTAATAAATCAATGAAGAGAAGCAACACACGACGCACACTGAGCGACCTCATTAACGAGATGAAGATTGAGATGCTCAGGTAGATCCACATCCAAAATCCTGATTGATTGATTTTTTTTCAATGAATGAGATCGGAGAGAAACAAGCAAGCTATCAATATCTGTTCTAGATAGGTATCAATTGAGAATAGCGAATAAAGTTAAATAATAATAAAAAAAGAAGTGTAATACCTGATACATAGGTCCTTGAAATGAAACAGCATGACTAAGAAGTTTACTTTTTTCTGGATGGCCTTTGGAAATCATATCTGAATTTTCAAGTTCATCACAAAGTATTTCAGGATGATCCGATGCAAACATCTCATTTAATAAATAATTATGAGGACCAATACGTCGTGATCCATGCATTTTTTGTGCTAAACAACTTTTCTTTTTTATTAATTCAATAAATTCTCCACGTGGTGTTAACTTTTCTTGTTCTTTAAATAATTTTTTAAGAGCATCATCTATATTTCCAGTTGTTCCATAAGCAACATATCTAAAAATTTAGATATTAATTATAATATAAAACTCCAATAAATAATTCTACCCTGTCCAAATTCGTTTCCAATGTTCTTGAACGGCTTGTTCACCTTGTGTTTTTTGAATATGATCAAGATATTCTTCAACAGCATCACGTGCATATTTTCCATGTCCATTCAAACTATTATCAATTGCTGTATGAAGAAGAGAAAACTTTGGATTTAAATCATATCGTTCAAGAATTTTTCGTAAACCAACATGTTCAGAAGTTGATGTTGTTTCAAGCCACTAAAAAATCAATCAATCATTTTAAAGATACAATCTTTACAAACAATTACTTAAAATAAAATATACACAAAAATATATTTTTTCTTTGCTATTGATCAGATTTTATATTATATATTAGTTATAGGATATTGAATAAATATGTTTAAGCTAGTAGATGATCTAAAAAACAAGGATATGGCAACGAAAGTCATCATGAGAGAATTCGGATGAAACTCTGAGAATATTCTAGGAGTGATACGATCTAAATATGGGTAAGCTTTAACGCCGAAATTCTCTCTTTTTTTAAATTGTTCCGTATGTAGCGAAGTCTAGCTCGAAAGACTAATTATTAATTCAAGTGATTCCCATTGTCGAACAAAAAAATTATTTGGTTTCTTTCCCTCTCTTTCCATAGGTTGTTTTTTCTTGTCTACATTTGTGCTAGAGAAAGAATCAAATAAACAATTAATTAGGAACAAAAAGTTGTTTGTTTTTGTGTCCGGAAATAAATTTGCCATAGGTAAAATTATTGTAAAAATGAATTATAAAACGATAAAATTGAAAATTTACTATTGTAAATGAAATGACATGACGAATATAAACCTACAAGTGTATATCCAAGAATTTCTGGTTGAAATGTTCGAGGAAAAAGTGATGTTGTTAATGTTAAAAGAGGTTTTTTAAAACTAATATCAAGAATTGATTGTTGATCAACAAATTCTCTTGAATGAATTGGTGGAACATAAAGACCAAGATTTTTAAGAACATTTAAATAAACATTCGGATGATTTTGTTCAGGATCTCCATTACCTAATTCATCAATATAAATGGAAAATAATTTTGCTTCAATTGTTGACATTGGTCCTTGTGAAAGGCCACGTAACCAAATTCCATCTGTTAAATGATATGGTTCTCGTTGAATTAAATAAGTTGTAAAATGAAGTTTTGTTTTCGCCCACCAATAACGTGAATCCGATGATACCGGTTGACCAGCATCACACCCTTTAACAAATAAATTTAAAAAAAAAATGTATATATATATTTTTTTTCAAGAATAATTCTTACAATCTAGATATTTTTCTTTCAATAATCTTTGAAAAATATAATCTAATCTTTGTTGAACTTTTTCTTTATCATATTTAATATAAGTAAAATGATCTGGAAAATCTGGATCATCTTCATGATCATTCATCATATATTGAGAAGCTTCATAATGCATTCGTTCACTAAATTCTAAATAAAAATTCAATTTTCATATATAATTATTAAGAATTTTATTTTAAAAACCTTTAGCAAGATGAAGTTTATCAATGTGAAATTCTGGATTAATAAAAAAATAAAAAAGATCTCTATATGAATAATCGTCAAGATTTTTTTCAAATTGATTTATTTTTTTTATTAATTTTTGTTTGTTAATTTGACAAATAGCAGTAATGATTCCAATAGCTAAACATAATCCAGCTATTATTTCTAATCGAATTGATGAATCTTTCAATGAATGTCGAATATAATTCACAAGAGATAAACCATCGGATGAATTCGAGCAACTATCATTTAATAATTCCATTATTTTAACAATTTTTATTATGAAGAAGATTTTATTTCAAAATTTATTCTTTTATATGTATCACAGTGCATCAAGTACAATTTTTATCTCAATGATATGATAAATGAGAAAGACGAAAAAAGAAAAATCTTCACTTGTTAGGCAATTTGTTGTTAAGAATAAAAAATTGAATAAAGTCACGTTAGAAAATCACGTGATAGAATTATATCATAGTAACGAACATTCATACATTTTATCAATTATTTAATTGTTAGATTTCTTTTTCTCAAAGAATTAATTTTCTCATATCTATGAAATATTTCACAAAGGCTATTTTAGTTAAAGAAACAGATAGGACAAATACAAAACCACAGGCAGCGATAACAATTTTTATTTATTAATTATATATTTTCGTTTAAATGGCGTCATCTGATATATTAAAATCTGAACTTTTACTACAACTATTTAAACTACTCAAAAATTAGTTCGAGTTGAATTTGGAGACTCCAGAAACAGAGTCTAATAGGTGAATAATTCTATTTGATTTAGCCGAATCGGATCGAATTCACATGAAGATTTCTCATTTATTTCAGTCTCTTTTCGTAATTTATCATGGCCTCATAATGGACTCTTTTTCATTGGTACGTAACCAATATTAATTTCGTGCTTCTCAATGTGCAATGAGTGGTCTACAGTCAAAGACAAAACTTTATTTGTCGGAACTTTTCAGAAACTCGCGTTAACTTTCAGGATATCATTATTACATGCATGCAATCGTAATTTTTTAACTTTTTAGACAAAACATGATAGATGATCTGTCACTCGTTATTCTTGCAAACACTCGTATGTAAATAGCAATGTGTTATTTGTGTGAATCTACAGAATAATACTTAGAACTCCGCTAAATACTGTATATATATATATGCGAAAAGTTCTTATTTACGAAAACTATTATCAAATTAATTCTGTAGTATTCATATTGGTCTATGCAAGAAGATAGGTGTTTTACTCAAGGTATCTATAATCAAACCATATTAAATGGAAAATATCATTCAATTTTTAAAATTCTTCATAGTTAAAATCATTGCTTAATAGTTACCAATTGCACTTTTTATGTAAGCACACAGTTGAATGTTGAAGAAATTCGTCTTATAAAAAAGAGTATGTACATTCGTATGTTATTTCGGAAAAAAGTCCTATATGTTCATGCGTAGTTGCTATGTATGCTTAGATTTTTGTTCATTCTATAATTTTCTTGCATGCATACACGAGAATAAAGTATATATACGTGCACATATTTCTATTTCGTATAATGATGAATATAGTTTACCGTATGATGTATACACATGCTTATCATGCAAAAGAATATTTATTATGTAACCCCATCATCTTTGAGTGCAGTTACACACGTTTTTTACTCTTTCACCTTTGAATGGATGTCGAAGCGTATTCGATGCATTAATCATAGTGAAGAAAAATTCCGTACCAATGGCTGTCAGAAACAGTTCATAGTCATTATCTCACCGATTCTCCTCTAATTGTATAAATAACAAAAAAAAACTCGCTTTAATGTGACAGTATTTCTGTCTGTTAGTTTGATGCAACTTTAAAACAGTGCTTTATACCTAATTTAATTCTCCAATCGAGAATAATAGGTGATATATAGCAAGAAGGAAAAGAAAAGATATACCAAACACAGTAAGTGAAATGCCCTTAATAACCTCGTACATCATACAAATCGAATATCGGTTTGTGATAAAGTGGACGAAGGCTCACTAAGAGCGAATTGTATTGTGATTTTTGCGTGTATCATTACAAAGCAAGATGCAAAAATTATTATTGGGTATCTTAAATTAATCAATAAAGATGGACAGAAATAGACATGCACGATGTGATATGAAGAAATCAAAGATCTTCTATCATCTAAGTAATAACGTTACAACAATCAGTAGATTCTATCACCTCTATGGATGAGAGGTTTGAGACAAAAAACAAAATTGAAAATTTAGCATTATTCGATTTCAGGAGATTTTTCTTGTATCTCAGAGACACATGAGAGAAGTCTGAAACTTTCAGCGTTTATAGAGCAGATGCTAGGCTACAATTTGGCTAAATTGAAATTAAGAATGTATGTAATAAAAAGAGCCTGTCAGAGTTTTATTAAAAACACTTGCAATACTTCCAAAAAAATTTCAAAGTTCATTGACTTTCAGTTATAGAGGTACCTCCAGTCAGTCTCTATCTAACGGTGAAAACCGCACTTCAATAGCTATTAACGTTGCAGAGTTATTAAACAAACAACCGAGTCCACTTTATTTCGAAATGGATAATAGTTGAGTTCTCAGTATGCACAACATTTCGAATCAAAATTCGAGCACCTGGGATCCCTAGAGAAAAACAATTGATAATTTGGTCAAATCTGAATATCTTTTAGAGTTCTGATTAAAACACTATGTAGTATCTATAGGCGAAAAATTATTAAAATCAGAGGATGGCAGTTGAAAGGTTCCTTCATTAGTGAAAAATTGATTTCTTTAAAACAAACTTTTCAGTCCAAGGGATCAGTTTCTAATGTTACAAAATAATAGGAAATAACAAAAGTAGCGTTTTGAACAAATTGATTTTTTTTTTGTTTTGCTCATTAAATGGCAATTTTAATTATATGTAAAATATGACTATATTTCTTGAAAAAAATAGTAGATATATTATATTCAAATGAAGGGCAAAAGAATTTTAGACATTTCAATCTTATTTTGATCCTTAGATTTTCTCTTTTGAACTTGAACTACATGCAGTTTTTAACACTGAGTAAGGAAATAATCATGTCAACCTTTTAAAATATATTAAAATTTGGACTAATAAGCTTAATAATCTAGATATTCTGAATCAGCTTATAAAATGTCTCACATTATATTTAATTATATTATTGAAGCTAGGAGATACGATAAATGTCTCATATACGTTGTTGAAAAAACAGATGTTATTTAAAACTATCTGTTAAACCTAAGTGAAAATGATCAGCTATTAGTGTTTATTATAACATTAAGAATATTTTAATTTTTCATATCTTCCAATGTAACGGAAATTACACATATTATATATCTATACTTGAAAATTATCTTTTTTTTCTTTTGCAAAATATATACATGAACAAAATGTGCTCTGAATATAGTAAAAAACTCAGTTTTTCTTGCGAAGAAAAATGAATAGAATATAAAATGATATGAACTAACCTCGATAAACGAATGATCAGCAGAATAAGACGTACAAATTGTTTAGTTTTTAAGATTTTCTATATACTAATAACAATGTCTAATCTTCCGTTATTATGATAATGGTATTTGAGTTTCGGAAATATTGCAGTAGACACAAATATTTATTGTTAATGTCTTTTAATAAAAGTGACCTTCAATGGCTTTACTCTTGTTGCATGACAATATAAATACTTTGAGTTCTTTATATGTGCAAAGTTTCAAATCAAAATTTGAAAACCTTGCATCTATAGGAAAAAAATGCCATAGTTTAGTCAAATCTCAATGCCTCTTAGGATTTTTATTAGAATAGTATATATTACTTATAGGCTAAAAGAATCATTAAAATCAGAAGAGAGTAGCTGAAGAGGTTTCTTCGTAAGATTAGAAAATATTTTTAAAAATACTGCATAGTAGACACCTCCATACAGAGCTGTTCTAAGGTCACTAAGAGTTCTTTGTAAAAAAAAAAAAAAAGCTGCTTTTAGAAAAGATCAAATCTCCACTTTTCAAAAATCTCCAGGATGTTCACTATAGAGAGATTATATTATAGATCAGCATCTGTTAAAACCATGAATTATGATTATAGTCTTTTTGAACAATATTAACATGTTTAAATAAAATCAAATTTCTATCATTAGATAATATTAATATATATGCATTTATTTTTATTTTAAAAATAAAAATATTTTATTATTTACGCAATGAATTCTTAAGTTTAACATTTTGATGAGTTTTATTTATTGAAAGTTTATTAGTAACAAATTGTGAACGTGTTAATGGTGAAGATTGATATTCAATCATACGAGTATTATTTATAGGTAAATTATTATCACCACTATTGAATTTTTGTTGTCGATTTGTTTGACTACTTGTATTTGGATATCTTTGACATGAATATGTTTGAATAACTCGATTACTAGTCTTATGACGTTGTTCATTTTTCAATGATAATGAACATCGACATCGGCAATAATATCTATATGAACATGTTTGAAAAAATTTAATCACAGTTTGTCGTAAACGTGATGATATAACAAGATATATTATTGGTTGTAAGGCACAATTAAGAAAAACAAGTAAACGAACTGTATTTAGTAACCAATGGAATAAAGTTTCATTCATGAAGTTATATTGAAATAATTGATTATATACAATAAAAAGTAAATTAAGTAGACGATATGGTAAAAGTAACAGAATATAAAGTAATATAACAACAAAAAGCATAATTATAACTTGAAGATGTTGAGTTGAATGAGAATTAGTTGAACATTTTGTTTTTTCTATTGGTATCATCATAGATATTGGAAGTGTAGTTGTTAAATATTGTTGTGGACGTCGATTTGATGAATTGATTGATGATGATGAAGATGATGTTGATGTATGTGCTCGTGTTTCACGAAATTTATTTTGATTGATTATATTGCGTGAAACAAAATGATAATTTTCATCATTATTTTTTTTTGTTTGAATATTTTTATTAGTATATTTTTTAGAACTAAGAATTATTCGAATAGCTTGGCCATAGATAATAATAAGAAAAAAACCAGTGATTAAGTAAGTTAAAACAAGCAATAAGATTAAATAAGTACGTGACCAAATTTCTTTAGCTTCTGTTTCACAAGTGGGTATAGATATTGTTTGAGATTTATTTGTTGTATTTTCTATTGGCACCATATCATTTTTTTCATATTTAGTTATTGCAAATAATGGCAAATTAATTAATATAGCAAATGCCCATATAAGACATAATGTTTGACAATGATTACGAATTTGTCGTCGAATTAAATTACGTTGTAAACACCGTGGTACACCAGCTGGATAACAACGATGTACAGTTAATATTAATAAAAATCCAAGTGCTGCATGCATTGATACTTGTTGTAAAAATGGTAATAAATAGCCTATTTTTTCAAATAAGACAAAAAAAAAAAAGAAAATACTCAATAGAACAATCACTTCAGCTATGCGTAGAATATGATTAATCGTGGTTTCTAAGACTTCTATAATATAAAAGCTCATTTCAAATTACATATCATATAATATAATCTAATTGTATTCTCGAAGTAAACAAGACATTTGCTCATGTAATATATATAAACAAAGAATGACGATAATTTTATTTAAATATTTTTCTAATATTAAATCTTTAATGAATTTTTTCTTGTTTATCTATATTAAAAAAAATTTCTGTAAATGGAAAAAAAATATTTTTGTTTAAATATTAAATCGTTAGTTTACAAACAATAATAACCATATAGAAAAACCTAGTGTAAATTATCTTTCACACACGGAAACGAAAAAATATCAATTTTCTACAAGTGGATTTAGTATGTACTAATATGCAATAAAGTACATATATAATTTTGGTATTGTACTTAGTGACATAAATGTATATAGTACTTATTTCTGAAAAAAGCACGCATGATTAATACTTATTCTAGTCTTTGAATAAATGAATTAATATCATTAGTTTAGTATAGATGATCAATCTATTGATAATCAAATCGAATTCGATATATATATATATATATATATATTGAAATGTAATTTGTCCTTCTATTTCAAGCATTAGGTTAGATGATAGAAAAAATAATTTGTTTTTTTTTTTTCGAGTCTTTTAAATAGAAAAAAAAAGCTGCGATACAAAAAGATAATTGTTATTATAAGAAGCTTAATATACTGGTAATTGTTTAATCCAGACTCTTTTACTTCTAGAGAAATAATTATAAATACGTAATAGCAGGAAGTCATTAACAAATTTTGAATACCAAGGACGAAAGAGTTTCTTTTTACGTTCAATCTAAGTAGAGTATTAAAGGGAGCTTCTTTTTCTTTTAATTTTAATGTGTAGGTTGATGTATAATATTCAAGATTAAAAATATCTCATATAATAAACTTACATGTAAACATGCCTAAAATAAAACCATCATTCGCACTTAATATTGCAGCTATACGTTCAGGTAAACAACTGAATATTAGAAGAATATCTGCTATATTAACATTAATTATATAAAAATAAGTTGATGTATGCATTGATTTATCTCGTAATATAGCTAAAATAATAATAATATTAGCAATAAAAGCAATTAATATAACCATCATAAAAACCATAAACCATGATATATTGAATAGATCGTCTGACATAATTCTATATTTGAATTGTTTTTTTTTTTTTTGCTTTTTTTGTATTCAAATCAATAATTCATAGAGAAAAATCTGAATTTGTAATTAGAATAAAAAATATGTTTAATAATAAATTAGAAGAAAGAAAAGACAAAAGTGATAGTAAAAACGAAAAATAAAATTTGTATGATTGTTTGAGAACATTCATGTATAGAGTATAGTTATTACTGTCATCTTATCGGGTTGCTTTGTTCATTCTAGTAGAAATAGTACTTACTTTTCTTCTTCTTCTTCTTCATTTCAAATCATTGTCTCGAACTGAGCATGTTTTTAGAAGTGAATAAAAGACAGACGTCATTCTCTTTTCTTTTCTCTTCATCACGATCGACGCTACTCTACATTATATAAACGTAGATCTATACTCATAAAAAAAAAAAAGAAGAAAATAGCCTATTTATCAGTATTGTCTAACTTTAAAAAAGAAAGTGCTTTTGCCCTAGGGAAATCTATTCAAATATTGAACTATTTTATATAATATTAATTGCAAATATCACACTTTTTTAAATAATAAAGTAGCTAGTATAACTGGAAGATACAACACAAAACTTCTATTTTTATCTAATTTATTATTGGAAATACTATCTTCTCTTTTCTTTTTTTAGTTCTGTTTAATAACTGCAAACATATAAAAAAATGATAAAAAGATGTTTTTTTGTTTTCGTTATATTAATGTACTTGGGAAATATGATATGAATTTTTTTTTTCTGAGAGATTGCTGATGTCTATCATCAGAAGATACAATCATTTTTAAAAATGATCCCACTGTTTATAGTAAACAGACCGTAGCCAAGAATTTTAATATTTCTGTCAAAAACTGACATCAACATATTTCTTGTTTACTCTAGATAATGGTTATAATTAATTTATTATATCATGTTGACTAGATCTTTGTTATGAATAAAAGATTTTAATTAAATATGTTTTATTTAACCAACTGTTGAAAAGTATTGTGGCGTTTTTCTTTTTATAAAAACATTAAGATATTTTTGATCCATACTTTTTTTATACAGAAAGTGCAGCATATTCAATAGTATAGTAAGTAGGCCAAAACTAAAAGGACAAGTTGGTTCTTATTGAACAAAATGGAAATGTCAGATGTCTTGTGACAAGATATATTTGTCTGTTAAGAATTTCTCAATACTCATCATGCAAGAATAAGTAGTAAATATTATATGCTCTTTCTTTTTTTTAGAAGTTCTCTTTTGAAATGTTCAATTACTTCCATTGAGAATAAAACATACCATTTAGAGTACTCTATCGATAATAGCATGATAAGTATGAAACAAATGTTGAAGTTGTTCCTTTTCAAAACATATTTATCGTTTTCCTTTTCTTCAATAAATCTAACTTTTTATTGACCATATTGTTTTTCTCGCTCTTTCTTTTCACTCGTCACGATCATTTATAGTTTCAATGTCAACAAAAGAAAAACACAAAATTTATAATCGTTTCCAACAAATGAATACAATATAAGTTTTCATGAAACAAAAAGAAAAAAAAAAATGGAAGAAAAAAAAAAAATGCTTCTTCTTTTTTTTTAAATCTTGCAAGTACAATCCTATAACGATTGCTTGTTGGAACAAATAGAACACCAAAAGAATAAACATAGAAACAACAAGAACAACAAGTATACATCTAGTTAATATATATAAGAGAAACGTATATATATATATATTTATATATGCATGCAACAAAGAAAGAAAAAAAACACACACGCACACACACTTATTGCGGAAGTAAAAAGTCTGTCGTTGGATTTGTTGCCGATATTGAATTCGTTGGATTATTCGGATCATTTATTGCTATTTGATTAGTATTTAATTCATTTGTTGTACCTGGATTTTTCATTACAGTTACAAGACCACCATATTCATCAAAACGAAATGGTGTTGTATTATTACTGGCACAGATTAACTAGAAAATAATTATAGGATTCTTATATGTTTAATCTTTCATGACTATACATATAATCTTAGAATTCATCTAAACATTAGATAAAAGTATAACGTCGAAAGATTTTTTTTTTAATGAGTCTTAGTTTCTATTTGATTCATTTAGCAAATAAGTTCAAAAATCAAGAAGAAACATTCCGAGATTTAATTAATCCTTTATAATCAAGTAACAAAGCGTTACATGTCGATAATAATTAGTCTTATGAAAAAAAAAAAGAGAAACTATATTTAGTCCTTTCATGTGAAAAAGGTCCTGTTTAATTTTATTAACAGTTAATTTAATCGAATATTTATTTGACAACATATATTCTTAATTTAAATATTTTTCTTGTCGTATTCAATAAATCTTCAAAGATTTCCAGGTATGACATATCCTATCTTCTTATGAGATCTTCTAGTAAATTCTATTAGAACTTTTCTTCTATGTCAACTTACCTCCGCACGACCTCGTGATTTTATTTGTTGATGAATATTTCCATTATTAGCAGAATCTAAAATGACAACCTACAGAAGAAAAAAAACAACTAAAAGTGCTTTTATATTTATGATAAAAGATACTTACATCCATACGATGTTTTTCTGTAATATGTTTTATAAATTCATCAACATTGGTTTGATATCGACGACAAAGTCCACATTGAAATCTAATAAATATATAGAAGATAATTATTGAATAAAATTATTTTTCTTTTTTTTTTTTTGTCAAACTTTGTATTTGGATTTGACAGAAGTGCATCATTAGATAAAAGTACAGGCGTATTTGATTGCCCAGCATGATTATGATGTAAATGACGCTTAAAAAAAGAATAGAATTTTTTTTTTTTTAGTTAAAAATATGAAAGATTAATTTCGTTTACTTTAAGATTTGTTTTTTTATCTGTTATATATGAACAGAATGTACAAACATGTGCTGAATCATCTAATTGTAAATGTTCACTTTTAACATGTTCATTTAAATGATAAAGTTTAGTTGTTGAAAAAGGACATTTTTGACATGTAAATACACATTTTGATATGACTTTATAACATTGTGGAACTGTACCATGTGGTGGAGGAATATTTGGCATATCGGAATTCTATAAAAGAATAGATATATATTAATTATGTTTTTAAATGAATTTATCGAGTTAGAAATACATGTATAATTATTAGAATTTTAGTATATGAAAGGAAAGTTTTTTTTTTTGTTTTTGTTTTCAGGAAAATTCTATGCATAGAAACTAACTAATAATAATGTACTGAAAATGTCAATTCGATTCTTTGTTCAAGAAACACTGAAAACAAATGTTGATAAAAAAAATTTCAATGGATAAGTTTATAGAGTAAAATTTTTTGTTTTTTTTTTTACAAATTAAGTTACAATGTATGCATGAATTACGCTTGAGTTTTTATTGTAATCTTATAAAAAAACTCTAATTGAAAATGAAACAGGAAATCCTTTTATTTTTGATCTCAGTTAGACCTCGGTATAAAAGTAAAATTAAAGTTCAATCTTATGTCATTTCCACTTAGTCGACATTTTATTTTCTAGGAAAATATTTTGATTGACATTTCGACAAAAATATGTCATGTTCGATATCTCGAATGTATTTTCCGCTCAATAAATACGAAACAAAAATATCGGAAATTCTCAACACATGCCTTCTGGCTATGTTGTACTGCAAAACACGTGACTATAAATAGATATTAATGAGTTACATAGCGGAATAATCATCTTCTATTCTTGCTTACGGCAAAAAAAAAACTGTTCTTTTTTTATTCAAAGATTTAATATACTATATAAAATTCTCAGTTGGACTCAGTGATAGTGGAAAATAATTGAATAAATTTAGTCATGCATATCTTCACTAATACCTTGAAAATTTATATAGATTGTTAGATAATTCAATAGTTCATAAGATTGAAATTATGATATAAAAATTCAATTTTCTTGTAGAATTCAACGAACAATTTTATTCTCTTCTCAATTCAAAAAGTATGTTCAGTCAGAAACAATGTCTTAATATCTACACAGAAAATTTTTTTAGTTTTATGATACTTATTACGCATGACAAATGGAGATTATATTTTTTATTTTTACAATCTCCTAGGGAGAAGTATTTAAGAATTTTCATACTATGAAAATTGCTACATTGCTCATCAAGATTTCTTTCTGAAACATTGAAAATCTTAAATTCAATTTAATTTAAATATTTTATCTAAGTTTTATTTAATTTATTAAATATAAAAACATTAAGATTTACTCGTTTTAAAAGATCTGAACCAAATAAACGATTTCCTCGACCGATTTGTGGTATATTTAATTTATGTATTGATGTTAAATGACGTTTAAGATGTTCCATTTGATAAAATTTATTATTACATTTCGGACATTCATAATTACGTTGTCCTTGATGATAAAGCATATGACGCTAGAGATTAACAAAAGCAAAAAATAAAAGTTAAATTATCAATAAAAAAAAACAATTCATTTTTACTTTTAATTTTGAAAAACTTTTACAATTATATGGACATAAATTACATTGAAATTTATTTGTCTGACTTGAATGACTATAAATATGATTTTGAAAATCCTATTCAATAGAGAGGCAAAAACAAAAGATCAGATAAAATTATTTATGTAAAAAATTTTTTTTTTCTATACCGAATAATCATGAAAGACTGTATCACATTTATTACATTTCCATTCTTTTTTATATGTTTTAGGTAAATTATTTAAAATATCAAGTCCTTCAATATCCCAATGTCGACGTGCCATATGAATTTTAAGATCAGCATTTGTTGCAGCCATAAATGAACAATAAGGACATGGTATTGATCTATATAGAAAATATATAAATAATTTTTTTTTTTTAATAATTTATTTTACTTTTCTAAATGTTTATGTGCCATATGACGTTTAACATGTGTTGTCGTACAACCACGATAATGACATAATGGACAAGCAAAATCTTTTCCTTCACTACCCATATGAACACGTAAATGTCGTTTCATATTAGCAATACCAAGAAATTTTTTTCCACAATGATCACATACAAAATCAAATGGATCAAGTTCTAAATTATACAAATAAGAATATTAGAAATTATTTAAAAA